GCACCGAACGATTTTCTTTCCCTTGTACCAACACTCATTTTCAGGGTGATTTGTCAAGGAACAGATGTTGCACTGAGGATATTTCTTTTGCTTACTAGAATTTTGATTTCCAGTTTAATTCTCTTCACTCCTTCTCCCTTGATTTTGTGTTGAAGAGCTACCTTTGATCTGAGTTGAAATTAAGGCTCCCTCGGTATGTTGTCGAACATACATATTTACCCGCTGCTCACTGGATTGAAGCTTGTTTATCAACTCAGCCGAGGAGATAGATTCAATGTCGGCAAGCTCCTCAAAAGTTGAGATTTTAGACTCGAATTTAGGGAGTAAGCTGATAAGAATCTGCTCTACCACCCTTGATTCCGAAAAATCCGCCCCAAGCAGCCTCATTTTGTTTACCATATCCGAGAGTTTGGAGGCATAGTCCTTCACTGATTCATTTTTCTGCATTCTGAGTAATGCAAACTCACTCTTCAGCCTCAAGATTTTCATCTTCCTGCTTTTGACTCCCCCCATCGAACTCTTCCTTCAGTTTCTCCTAAGCAGCCTTTGGTGATTCGAAGTTCATAATCCTTGAAAACACCCTATTCGAGACAGCCGAAAAAAGGCAAGCAATAGCCTTTGGTTTCTTGGCCTTGTCTTCCTCGTGCCTTCTGATTTGGTTTAGAGTGGCAGTGTCCCCTAGTGGAGGAGGATCGATGTCATCCATAATAACATCCCACAGACTTAAGGCTTTCAGATTGGCTTTCATTTTGATTGGCCATACATGGTAATTTTCTCCGTTGAAGTGTGGGGGAGGTGAGGTTCTAATGGATGTCATCGGGTTTTTGAGGGTATATTGATTTACCAGTCCCTTAAGATAAGGGCTTTGATACCACTTGTTGATCGTAAGTAAATGAGCTTCAAAGGAAGCTTTGTGAATGAGTGAACTTAGAGAGAGAAAGTTGATGAGAGAGAGAGACAGCGAAACAGAGTAAGGTTATGCAACAGCCTCTGTTTTGCAATTTTCAGAAAGACTGTGTTTTTGGAGAAAAAAAGACTACTTTTCATTTCATTTCTTGTTTGTATATGTAAGAATGCAATAATAGAAACATATTACATCAAACCAAACGATAAAATCAAAAAGCCCGAAATCCATGCATACACATTGCATGGTGTTTACGTATCCTACTGTGAAACAACTTCACGGTTGATTTGAATTCAAATTTGAAACTAAACAGATAAAAAATCATTAAATTTAACAGGTACTGATGTCACATGTCCTCTACTATGGAATGAAGTAGGTGTGGTGGTCCTATTGAAAATGTGCATCATGTCCTACGTAATTGTAAGGTGGCCAAACTGTGGTGGTTGAATATCATCCCCATTGAAGTCTAATCAACCTTTTTCAGTATTGTTGTAGATGAGTTATTAGTGTTGAACTTCAAAAACAATTGGCCCTGGTGCAAGACATTTTAGGATTGGAGAGTGATCTTAGGCTTTACTTGCTGGAACTTATGGAACCATAGAAATAAATTTATTTTTCAAGAGAGTGAGAGCAATATCGAGGAGCTAGTTAAGGATGCATCCCTCATGACTGATTTTATATTTATAGCTAATAATATGAATCTTTGTTTTCTTCTAAGTATGGCGGACAGATTTGAAAAACTTATTGTTTGGCAAAAAGCACCTAGGGGTTGGCTGAAGGTGAACACTGATGGTGCTAGTTATGTTGCAACTAATCTCTCCTAATGTGGCGAACTTATTAGAGATGAGAATGGTGATTGCCTAAGAAGCTTCAGTAGAAAAATTGGTAGATGCTCTGTTCATCAGGCCAAACTTTGTGGAGCATTCGATTGTTTCCAACTCGCTTGGAATGATGGGTTCTATAGCATCATTTTGGAAATGGATAAAGCTTTAATGGTGCAGTTACTCATTAAGGAGGATTACGGTACCAATGCGCATGTTGCCCTCGTCTGTGCGATCAAGCACTTGCTACTGCATGATTGACAAGTTCGGATTCAACATGTTTATCGCGAATGAAATAAATGTGTTGACTGATTGGCGAATACTAGCTTCTCTCTACCGATGAGTCTCATTTCTCATGTTCAAGTATCGAATGATCTCCAACAGCTCATCTCTGATAGTATCATAGGCGTTTCTTGGCTTAAAATGTGCATGACAACCTCTTAAGTTTTTTTTGGCTTTTGCCTCTCCTTGTATAAAAAAAAAGTAGGATGAAGGTGAAGGAACTAAAAGCTACAATTAAAGAAGAGGAAAGAAAAAAGTGAGATTGGAGAAGGACAACATAAAGGAAAGAAAAAACTGAAAGGGGCATACAAAAAAAAAGGAAGAAAGGAGCGGTTGCGACTACAATTAGAATGAAGAAAATGAGGGATGGCTCTCGTCCTCATATCTATATAATATATATATATATATATATATATTTCTTTTACTTTTAAAAAGTAAGAATTTAGAATTTATTATTTTTATACATATACGAGTGCAATTTAGGTTCGAATAGATTTTTTTCATTTAAGATCAAACCTTCTTTACCCCAATATGACACCAACAAAACTTTGACTAAAACTGACTTGTATTGATTTAGTTTCGATTAAAATCCGACACAAAATAAGTGGGTCAGTTTGAATTTGATGCATCATGACTTTTTTGGTATCCCTAATTATTTTCATTCATTTGCTATATTAGAAAAGTTTTAATATATTAATATTGTTTAAAAAGTAAGTCGATATCTATAAGACATCCAATAAATGAAATGATTCATGATATGATAGAAAAGAACTTACCATAACGCATGGCTAAGTGTAATATTATAAAATTGACAAATGGTAACAACAAAATCTACTATTTTTATAAGAAATTTCATAATCAAGTTAATCAATTATAGTTAATTTTAATATTATGGATCTAGCTATAAAAAGGCTTAGTGATTAATTATTTTAAGATATTAACACTCAAGACATTACTATCAATATTATACTCGTTACAAGATAATATTATAATTATTAAACTACGGTTAACTCAAAATGTTGAGAAATCAAGCTATATAAAAGGTAAAGATAAAAACTAGCTAGATACTTCATGCTCTTCAACATTTACTTTCATATTTCTTAAGTTCGTTTTCAACTTCTTTTACGAACTTGAGTATTAGAGTGTTCCGTTGGAATAAAATTTTAAATCCACTATATTCATCTTTCTAAATCAAGAGTATGTAAGCCACATCAATTGTCTGCTCTACCTAATCAACCTTAGACCAACCTTGGACTTAGACACATTAAATCACCTTAACTTTTTAACCATGCCTAATCAAGCTTAGACCAAGCTTGAGCTAAACACATAGGATCATCCATACCACATTAATAGTTAAACCTATCAATCTTGATTTGTCACTCCAATTAATCTCACAACGATGTCTAACTTAATTACTTTGTGCCTCTATGAAAGCAAATAAGTGATCATGGTGATTAGAAAATTATGAACTAAATTTACAACATGCTAGGGAAGAATTTTACTTCCTCACAATGCAATAACTTGACAAGAGTACAACTATCTTGTTTAGATAGTGAAGGAATAAAAAACATAACATTAAATCTTTAGAATTATAGTCAACGAATCTAAAAAAACAATTATAGCCATCATTAAGCAGTATGAAGCAGATTTTAAAGAGAGAATAAATATAAATCTAAGTTTAAGAAACATCATTCAAAATTAGTTAAACAATCTGACTTCGACCTGTATAGAGCAAATGCACGAACCAACATCTGGAAATGTTTAAAGGGTACTAAGAAAGAGGTTGAAGAGATAGAGAGCAAGCTAGCCAACCTCAACAAAACTAAAACAGATGCAATAACTAGTACAACAATCCACCCAAAGAAATTTGAAGCTAAGTTGTTCAATGGTGACTTCTATGACCTTAAATATATTGGTGAATCTCATTTTTCTAATAGCTTGGAAGAACCTATTATAACAAAATTCAAACTAACATAGTCGGAATAGCACAATGAGACAGAGGACCCTTTAAATTACCTCAATTATTCCAAAACTCCAATGGAGCTTCGAGGGACATGAATGTGTGCTAACCAATATTTGAGTTTTTAGTTGAATTAATTATTGTAACCAAAATCAATAATTTATCTAAGCATAAAGAACCCATGCTTGAGAGCCAAAAGAAAAAGAAAAAGACGAATGGTAAGGCTAAAGATTGAAAAACGTTATGTACTTGGAAAATTTCAAAATTCCAGGATTTGATGGCTTAAATATTTTGGTTTAAAATAACAAGATGTAGCATATCACCTTAACTATGATTTTGATTTAATATTTTTTATTTATTTTTTGAAATTTAATCATTACAATTTTGTACTAAATATATTTTTAAAGTAATTTTTAAAATTAAAAAAAAAAAAGGTACCAAAACAGAAATTAAAATTTTAGAAAAAAAATCTATCATATATATCATAGGTATGCATCACACACAATAAAGTTAGCACCATATGTAGAAGGTTCCCACGCATAACACAAAAAGTTTCTGAGTTCAACCACGTTAAAATTTTAATCTTAAATATTTTGGACGTATTGCCCGGAATTCAAGAATTTTGTAAGGATCAGTTCTGGTTTTGTAGTCAATTTTGTATTGTGTTAAATATTATATTGCATTCCCCACATAAATTTAAATTATAAAGTAAATAGTCGAGTTAGTATAATGTTAGTTATTTTATTGAATTCTTTATATAAATTTAAATTAAACAATAAAATAAACTGAGATAATATATTAAACGAAAGAAACAGCAAAGAAATGACCATTATCAAATGGTAAAAAACCATTACTGAAAGATGCAATTTCTAAATTATAAAAAAGAATTAATTGGAATTGTAAGTGTAACCACTTGAGCTTTCTTATTTTTTCGGAATGCCGAAATTCAAGATCAACCTGTTTAGAGTTCAGATATCTTGTAAGAACTAATTTCTCCATCAAAGAAGACATGACAGGAATCAAAAGAAATTAGTTTCCTGGAATCAATTGTTCACATATTCTAAAATATATCCAGCAGTTACCGATTTGCTATCTATTGGATACTCAACAAAGCAAGTGAACAAGGTTGGTATTCATTAGTTACTACCAGGTGCTTGATGTGCAATGCTTTCGCAAAGCCAGAAAAACTTAGAAACAACTAGATAGGTTACGCAATAAACAAGCCGCATCAAAATATGATTTTAGCGTACCTAACATATTTACCAACAAAAACTAATTATGAACAATTGGAGCTGCACCAAGTTCCCTTCTCTATACATGGATGGATCCATGAATTTTTCATGGATCCAACCACAGTGGCATTTTTCAACATTTTCACATGTTTTGATTTGAATGCCACACTTAATAAAACTCTGTGCTGGCATGATTATCATTCACTCTGGTTAATATCAGAGGAAAGAGAAGAATTACTCAAGAAATTATCATCCAGGAGAATCTTCTCTTTCCTTCTAGTCTGAAAACAACTCGTCAGCCTCATCATTATCCCCTGAAGACACCAGTTCCTCTCCCATGCTAGTGTTCCTCTGTCCTTGAGGACTGTTCTCACCTTGGTTATCTCCATCAATGTTGTTATCGTGGTAAGTGAAAGGTCTTTCACAGATGCAAGCCTGTGGATATTCATGAAACTCACCCCGTCCTGGTCTCATCTCATCTGGTTCACCCATGAATCCTCTCTGGTAAGATTTTACCTTCTTGGAGAAAGTATCCCAATCCATCCGATCCCTTTCCATGAATACAGCACTGAGCCTTTTTGCATTTGGTCTGATGGTCCTCTTATGCCCCATGTATCTCCTTTGAACACCAAAAACAAATAGTTAATAAAGAATACCCTCCAGAAAATGTACCTACTATGTGAATTTTAATTAAGAATATCATCAAATAATGGTAACATACTAGTAAATTGGGAACAAAAAATGAAAATAACTATTGAGAAGTACACAAAATGGAATATCGAGATTATAAGAAAATGTTTTCTTGCAACAGCTGGTCAATCCAGATGATACAAAATCCAATAAACAATCACACGAAATGGAACATCGAGGCCTACTTTCCCTTAGGAAGGGGAAGATCATTCACACATCGTGAAATTCTACTTCTCTTCCCTGCAGAATATATTACAAAGCATAAGAAATGTGCATCTGATATTCTATTTATCTTTGACACGAGCAATTGTTTAGCTTACCATGTCCTAGCTACAGTCTCTCCACCCTTGTACAAATATTCTTGCCACTTGATCAAAAACTTCCACAATGAGAAGTTGAAATTTATAGTTTTTCCAAATTTCCAATTCCTCTTTCAGAGAGGACACAAAATAGCAATATTCAAGCAGCTATGAAAAATTCACTAATAGCGCAGGGCCTCATATCTGGTAACATAACAAAAGAGGGAAGATAATTGAATTGTATACCTACCTAGCACATGTTCCTGGAATTCAGAAACAAAGGATGCACTAAAGGCATGCATGAGACCTGAGGAAAATTTCAGGACTGCTCCATCAAAATGACCAGCAGCAACTTCAAACATAGTGTTTTGAACTATTTCCGAGGAAGCAAGCAATTGCTGAAGGCCTTGCATGGATTTCTTGCTAAATACACATAACCTAATTATTCTAAGAACTTTTCAGAACAGCAAGGGCCATATCCATAAGCAAACTCTACTTGTCCTTTAAAAGGGGCATTGTTATAGCCTCAAGAGTTATGCCAATCATTATAGAGAAGTATCACGAAACAATACAATAATGATGATAAAGAATCTTTTTCAAAATGATGATAGAGATAAAACTGTACTCTAATATATCCATTCTACAGATTCACCTTATTCTCTACCTCTCTAAGAGGAAAAGAAAATTACTCGATAATTGATATTAACGCCCAACTAGAAAGATCAAAACTCAAAAGCTCCTATCTTCCTTCTGCTTTTACTGGCCTTTAGAACCAATATATACTATGCTAGTTTTTGCACTTGATATTTTTATCAGGCAAAAACATACATTGTAGAGAGTGTTAGAGGAGCAAAAACCGGCCAAACGGGATAAACTGGTTCAGCCTCAGTTCCCATATATGAGAACCGAACCGACCAAAAAACTAACTATATAAATATACTAACTTACATATTATATATTATATTATATGAACATAATCATTAAATTTAAAAACTAAAATAAAATACAAAAAGAAATCCTAGGGTTTCTTTCACGGAAAATGGATCTGGAGGTATTTCAGCGAGTATAGCAAACTCTGGAAGGATGTTATTGACTGTAAATGGTTTGGTAATAACTGACCGGATCTTACTAACTTGGATAGATCTCTATATGGGAAAAGTTTGTGGAAAAGTATAACGTGCAGCTCAGATTCTGTACATGATGGTTCTAATTGGAAAGTGGGCAAAGGAAACACCATCCGTTTTTGGAAGGAGAGTTGGTTTGGTAATGAACCTTTCCAGAAACATTTCCCTCTCATGTATGCCATTGCCAAAGACAGAAATTCACTCATCAGGGATGTGTATGAGGATAATTATTGGAATGTGGTGGTAACCAGAAACTTACAGGACTGGTAATTGCAGGAATATAGAAGTCTTATCCAGCTCTTATCTACCATTAAACTTAATTCTAATGACGACTGTCTCTACTGGAATGCGAACAGAAATGGTGCATTTTGTGTCAAGTCGTTTTATAAATTTCTTGCAGATGACCATCTAGTTCTCCTAGCAATTTCCCCTACAAAAGTATATCTGGGAATCTGTTTGCACCA